AATGAACTTAAAAATAAATAAAAGATGAAACGTAAAACAATAACAATGATAATTGATATTGAATATGATGAAATGGATGTGTATTTGTATGATGGAAATGAATATGAAAGAATTGATAGAATGAAATATATAAAAGAAGAAGAAAAGAAAATAAATGAAGAAATCATTTCCAATGATAAGAAGAATGTGAAAATTAGAAAAGAAAATATTAAAGGAGTAGAAATGATGATTAAACCAGAAAGTAAATTAACAATGATATTCAATAATATTAAGAAAGAAGTAGAAAAGAAAGGAGAAAATGAAAGAACAATCATTTTTATTCCTAATGGAACAAGTCAAGGAAATGAAAGAAGAATAGAAAATTCAACAAAACTAGGAAGATTAAATAATGTACAAATCATACGGAAATATCATATAATTGAAAGAATACTTTCAGAAGAATATAACATAGAAACACCAATCATTATCATAGAAAATACAGAAATAACATATGGAAATATTAAAAAAGAAAAAGATAAGATAAAAATAAGCATAATAAATACTATAAGAACAAACAATAGAATAGAAGAAAATAAAGAAATCAATAGAATAATAACAGAAGAAAAAGAAGAGAAAGGAATAATAATAAATAATAAAATAAAACAAGAAAACAAAATAAACACAAAAAGATGGAGATATAAAGAAATCAACGAAGAAACATATATTAAAACAATAATAAAAATGATAGAGAAAGAAGAAGATTCAGAATATTCATCAGAAAGAGAAATGATAATAAATATCAAAAGAATAATATACAATAATAAAATCAATAAAGGAATAATTGGAAAAAGAAGATTAGGATATAATGAAATAATGATAACATCAATGTATTTTAATAATATTAAAGATTTTATTAATTTAGAAATTGGAATTAAAAGATTTCAAGGAAATATGGAACGATTTCATTTTAATCCAATTTCTTTAAATAAATATTCAAGAAAATTATTTCCTAATATTGAAACATTTCATATTTATAATGAAGAAGATGAAGAATTTGATGATGGAAGAATAACTAAAGAAATAATATGGTATGACATTAGTTATTCAAAATATTTAAAAAAGAAAGAAGCAGGAAATATCTGTAAAAATATAGAATATACGTATCAAGATAGAGAAGAATATGGAAACACAATACCACCAGAAGTTAAATCACTTGGAAATGAATGTTTTTCAAAGTGTTCAATAACGTCCATTGATATACCATCAACAATTAACAAAATTGGAGATGAATGTTTTTATGAATGTGATTCATTAACATCAATTAATATACCATCAACAATCACAACATTCGGAAGTCATTGTTTTTATGGATGTAATTCATTAACATCAATTAATATACCATCAATAATCAGTTCCATAGGAGATAGATGTTTTGTTCATTCTATATCATTAACATCAATTAATATACCATCAACAATTACATCAATAGAAGATAGTTGTTTTTATGGATGTTCATCATTAAAATCAATTAATATACCAAAAACAATTAGATCAGTAGGAAATGATTGCTTTTCAGGATGTTCATCATTAACATCAATTAACATACCATCAACAATTACATCAGTAGGATACAGATGTCTTTATGAATGTTCATCATTAACATCAATCAATATTCCATCATCTGTTAGTGCATTAGAACATGGTCATTTTTATGGATGTTCATCATTGACATCAATTAATATACCATCGTCAATAAGTGAAATAGGAAATTATTGTTTTTATGAATGTATATCATTAACATCAATTAATATACCATCATCTGTTAGTAAAATAGGAGATGATTGTTTTTATGGATGTGATTCATTAACATCAATTAACATACCATCAACAATTACATCAATAGGATACAGATGGTTTTATGGATGTAAATCATTAAAATCAATTAATATACCATCATCAATTATTAAAATAGGAAATGAATGTTTTTATGAATGCTCATCATTAACTTCAATTAACATACCATCATCAATTATATCATTTGGGAGATCATGTTTCTATGGATGTGGATGTGTTGAAGAATTAAAACAAAATAAAAGAATACCAAGATATTGTTTTAATGAATATTAGAATATGAAAATTCAATAATAAAAGAGATTATTAATAAACAAATGAAATAGTTATTACAATAAAATTAATTGAATTAATTTTAATATTCATTGTTTGTATGTTATTTAATTTATTCTGTCATTCTATTTCTTCTTTATTTCTGTTATTTTCACTCTTTATTATTATATTTTATTCTTTATTTTATTCTTATTCTCATTATTAATTAATTATATTGTTATTTTATGTTCATGAAATACATCTTATTATGTCATTGTTTTCATTATATTTATTCATTTATTTTTGTTATGAATTATGAAATAATAAATTATTATTTACTTCACATTTAACATTTATTGAATGTTTGAATAAAAATAAATTTATTGATTTATAATATAATGAATAAATCATTAATTTGATATATATTGAATAATGTATTTATTTTAATAAGAAATATTTAATAATTCATAATAAATTCATAACAAAATAAATTCTATTTCATTTCAAGATATTTTCAATTAAATGAATTAATTATTTCATTCATATAATAATTAATTATGATTTGAATGAATTAAATAAAAAATAAAAGAATTTCATAAAATGAATATCATTTGAAAATAATGATAAAATAATAACTCATATGTATACTTATGATTTATATCATTCAATTTTATTATAATTGAATAAATAATTATTATATAACATATCACATTATAAAATAATAATCAGAAATAGAAAATAAGAAATAAATCAAATAAATATATTACAAATGAAATAATAATTTTAGATAATCAAAATGATAAAGAATAAAATATAAACATTCTAATATAATAATTGAATGAATATAACATAATATAACATAATGAAAACAAATAAATAAATTCTAATAATCATAAATCAAATTATTTTATTTTATTCATTTATTTCTTATATTATTTATTTATCTCTTTATTCATTAATCATATTATTTAACATTTAATATATTTCATACATCATTCAATAAACAAAACAACATAAATTAAAAATGATAAATAATATCAGAAATAAATATAATAATAAAATGAAATAACAATATAAATGATACGGTTATAAAATAAATAAAGAATAAAGAAATAATAGAAGAAATATAAATAATAAAACTGAAAAAGAATAAATAAATCACAAACAACGAATTTCAATAATTTTATCGAAAATAAATAAAATGAAGAAAAAGTAGTTCAAAACATTGAAAAAAATTGTATTAAATAATACAATATAAATAATATACATCGACACAAGAAAAATGATTTATTACATATTATAAATTATCAATTATATATAAAAATGATAATAATAATTAAAACGTAGGTATTGTAATCAATTTAAAACACAAATACATTTACATTGTTGATGTAATAAAACTTGAAATGAAACAAAAGAAATATATGATATAAATGATATAACAAAATAGAAAAAGAACATAGTAATTAAAATAGATAATAAATATGATAAAAATGGATTATTAGAAACAATTAAATAAAAAATAACATTATAGGAGAACAGAAAATGAAAGGAAAACAAAACAGATAATGTGTATTGACATAATAAAAGATCAATAATAATAATAGAAATAACAATTTATCCTGAAAGTCATGTAGAAAATTGAATAAAAAGATACAGAAATGACTATCATAATAATGAATAAAATATACAAACTATATATATATATCAAAATATATATTATAGTATTCATTGTATCAATTATTATTCATTAAAAAATAAATAAAATAGAATTAACGTAAACAAAAATATAAAGATGAACCAAAATACATGAAAGAAATAATACAATTTGAAACAGAATATTTAATGAAGAAAAATAATAAATTTAAACTCCCCTTAAATAATACAAATCAAATAGTATTAAATTCATAGTCAAATAAATGAAATTGATTATGAATTGAATATATGTGTTATTAAATTGTATTGCAAATAAGAATATGCAAATGAGCGACGTGATTTAATAAAATATTATTTATTAAGAATAACTAAATTAAATTA